GATCAATTTTACCATGCCGCGCGCGCCCAATTCTGGAATAAGTATTTGCCGGCCGTCCGGCGGTTCCGGCGCGGCCCTTGCCTTGGTAAGAGCTGCGGTTGCATATTCCCCAGCATCCGTGATATTTTGGGATTTTGCAAACCGGATGAGAAATATCAATACATCCTCTTCATCAGCTTGCTTCTTTCCGCAATATTTGGCATATTGCTTCTTTTCTCCTGATGAGAACGAAGGCCTTATACACAAAAACACCAAATCAGATGTTGCAGGTTTTGGTTTGGTGGTCTTGGTTCCCGTCGGGTTCCTAAGACCTTCCTTCCTTCTTTTGTTAGTTTGTTTTTGGTAGGTTTTTGATCAATCTTCGTTTCTTTTCGTCCCCCCTATTCTCATCACGCGGTTAGATAGTTAGCATAGCAGGACCATTTAGCGCTAAAAAACGACGTGTAGTATGCGACGGGCTGGGCATTAGTCACGATGAAAAAAGGTTAGTTTGCCAGCTGAGTCCGCATAATCGAGTTCACCGTAAAGGGTGAGGTTACAATCAGGACGGTCGCAAATGCTGATAACCACGTGGTAATACTCAACAGACTATGATTCGCCGCCAAAAGTGACGAACCTAAGGCAAAAATCGAACCAAACACGGCCAGAAATGCCACCATTATCAATGGGGTGCTTATGAGTTTTTCCCCGAACTCTATGAAATAATCTTCAAAGTGGATCAGAACATCAGCTGTTCCGATGCCAATACCAAACGCGGCGGCTAATACTAAAGCGCCGGTTAAACTTCCCCCTGATATAAACGCAATTGTGCTAAATCCTATAGCACTGAATGCTACATACAGGGCAATTTTTTCGAATTTTTCAATTGTCTGCATTATGTTGCCTCTATTATCTTTTCTCCATACCCCTCAACCGTGCCGATAATATAACCAGCCGCTGCTCCTGCTGCCGCCTCGGCCGCTGTCCGCAGATGCATGTTTCGCATGTCGGGGTCTGTTATGACTCTTTTGTTCACTTCGGTGACTTCTTTTATTACTTCGCGTGTGTAATCAATAGCGTTTTTTGCCCCGTCGGCAACTGCTTCTACTCCATTTCCGACCGCTTTTACCGCATCGTCAATAGGACTGCCGGCGCTCACGGCCGGAACAAAGGATGTTATTACAAGGCATACCAATAAGATGGGCATGAATCTCCGTATCATTTTCACTTAGTTCATGTATGAGGGATCATCCCCTCGGGTTCTTCTTCAGAATCAATACGTTGCCATCGTTCGTTGTGGTGGCTGAACATGCGCTGCCTCGCGCGGCGTGGTTTTCCGCTGCTTCCTTTCTTCTTGGTTTTTAGTATTAGTTGCAAAAAATAACAACAAGGCTTTTTTCGGATTTGAGTTTTCAGGTATTATCCATCTCAATCAGTGGGTGAACAATATTCTGATCACGAAGCTCCGCGGCACTGCCAAATCCCGCACTCAGATCCCGTGGGTATGGACTATTGAAACTTTTTGGCCTATCCCCACATGAATAGGCATGCGTATATAACTACTATCAGTATGACCGTAACGATTATCATCATACCGATGCTGATTTTTAGCCACTCCTTTGGATATATAGCTATCCCCTTGCGGTGTAATCCCTTGCCGGTCGTTGGCATATAAGAAATATTGGTAACCTGCGTATATATCATTGCGTTCCGGTGGGGGGTGTCGTTGTGAGTTTTGTCCCCTATCGGTTCGCACTTCTCGGGTCGGTGGGTTGTTCGCATCCCGTCGGTTCTGTTCCTGCGGGGGCTGTGATGGGGATCACGGCCACCGCTCTGGATTGGCGATATGCCAAAAACACAAAAAATACGTATTTTGTGCCTCTGTTCCGCAAAATGTGTGGTTAACCGTCAAAAGGGTTCTGCCGGTCTCCTCGGCAACATGCCTCATTGTTACATATTTGTTTCAATTTCTTGGGTATTTTTCTTTTCCGCGCCCGGGTATTCGTGCGTTCTGCAAATTGCGCCTAATTAATATTATGCGAATTTATGCGCAATATTGAGAAACGGCGTTTCTCACGGCGGTTGCGTATTCAGAGGTGGTTTATGCTCGCTTTGGCTATGATGCGGTATTGCGTGGTTGTTCATGCAATGCATACAGGGCCGCATAAGCGCGGTTTGTATGATTTGTGCCGGCGGCGGTATGATTTGGTATGATATTCCCTGCAGCCCTGCGGTGCCGGGTTGGCAAAAAAAGGAGGATTACATCAGTCGATAAAACGCGGGTCGATGGGAATATTACGCCGATCTCTTCGCACTGCCTCCCTAAATTGATCAGCCTCATATCACGGGCGCGGCGCGGTAACGATAACACTGCCAAACCACTTCCCGGCGGCTGGTCTCCTTACTCATCCGCCGGGTTTATGACTGGACCCTTTTCACGGATTTTGGGGAAAAACAGAATACCGTATCTAACCAAACTATCCATATGAATCTAAAACGAGTTGTGAACAGAACGACGATTGCATACAACCGGATAACAAGTAAGGATACACAATGAAGATACTCGACTTTGTAAAGGCCGGTTTCGGTGTTTGCGTTGGGATATTGCTGTTTTTTGTAGCACTCGCTGTTATCTCGCTGTTTCTCATTGTTCTCATTGTGATCGTGGCTTCTTGCGTGTGACTGCAAAAAAGAAGATTACATCAGTCAATAAAACGCGGGTCTAATGGGATTTCTATATCAAGCTCCTTTGCATGTGCGGCCCTTACCGCGTTTTGGTATTCGGGTTTCTCAAATTCACAACGGAGGTACTGGGTATTCCGCTTAATCCCCTCAATCCGCTGCTGTCGGGTCTCCTCCGGATCAAAATTGCGTATTGCCTTCTGTTCAGCTTCCCGTTCTGTATCGGTGTAAAGCGGGTTCATAGGATACACCTCGTTTACAAGTTCGGAATGGTCTTTCCGATCTTCATCAAGTTCATCACAATTGCAGATATTCCCATAAACGCGCGTGCTTAATTCAACACAGAAAAAGGATACAATTTTTCCATGATGCCGAAAAATGTAGGTTCCTTTCGGGTTTAGCGGTTCATAGTTGTCCGGATAGGGATTTTTCCAATCTTTGCCAAAAAGTCCCTCCCCGTTTGCGTCTTCCCATTGCAAATGTCCATACCCGAATGATATGGGTATCTCGTCCTGAATGAGTGCGGCCCCTTTCCACGTCTGAAACCGAAAATAATCATACTGGATATTGTATAGGTATCGTGCGCTCTTGATAAGAGCGCCGTCCTTTCCATATGCGTTTATCCTGAGTTCCTGCGTTTCGTCGGTGTCGTCACGGGTGATCTGAATATACCCGTTTTTTACGTCGATTCGTTGGTAATGGTGTGTGTCTGTCATACTTTCTTCCATATCCAGCAATGCAGCCGCTCGTTTGCATTCCGGCCGTAATGCAGATGATCAAAATATCCATCCGTTTTTGCCTCCACTTAAAAACCGATTAACGGCTTTCTCGGCTAAATCCTTATCCAATGTCATGATATCCTTACCCTCCCCCATTTTCTTCACGGCCTGTTCTTCGGTAAGCTGATTCAGATTAACCTCTACCTTACCATGATTCCAGCGGGCTTCGAAATACCACTTGTCATCTTTCCCCTTGGGCGATCCCAATGCGGTATAATACTCATACACTGCAGTCATTGCCGCTTTGCCCTCGTGGTTCGTGGTTTCTCGGTTGATACACGCTCTGCAAACCGTTCCCAGCTCTCGCCCGGGGTTCCCATTGTATATCCAGATGCTTGCCAATTTCAACAACACCCGCACCGGCAATGAGTATCATATTATTCCGGCATATGCAAACTCACAAATTTTCGGTATTGCGGGGGCGGCGGCAATAGCCTTGTTTTCTGTTTCATAATTTTTTTCACCTCAGTTACGGACGCGGCCCTTCCTCTCCATTCCATTCAGAAAACGGGATTACTTGTGCATGTCTTAGTATAGGACCCCCAAAGATAAAAAACCGCGTTTTTACCCCTCATTTTGCAAAAAACGACAATACTATTAGTTTCGATCATAGATTGCGTCCATGAGGGCATCTTGGTCTTTTCCCCCCCGCGTCGTGAGTTTCATCAGATTCTTCACAACGCTGGGCGAATCTTTATTAACAATCGCAACATAGTAGTTCATTATGTCGTGATTCTTTTAACCTCCACACGGCATATAAGTTTCATCACACAGACACTCATACATCACACCATTATACTTTTTTTCACAGATCTCTCCTGGATAGGAGCTTCATTGATCTGTGTTTCCCCACAGCATACCCTTCGGGGAGCACCTCGGTTTAGTTGAGGGGATTATCCCCTCTTCATCATAATCAGGTTCTCCATGTTCTGAATTCATGTGATGCTTACCACGCTCGTTGGGGTGATGGAGTAGGAATTTTTGTGCTGGGTATATCCATCATCACAAACAAAAAGAGTAGGGGCGTCGTGACTTGATTCAACTGGATGCCACGGCGTTGACATTATTGTATTCTTTCTGCAGGGGTGATACTCCACACCCCCAGCTATTTTTTTCAATCGTCAAAAGCATAAACTTACACAGATAAATTTTAATGAGTAATATTTATCGGAAAATACAGCATAAGTATAACTTGTGTCGTGGCTTTTCGTGGTCATGTTTCCCACGACGTGCAATAGAACTACTAACATTAACTGCGGGTGGTTTCCTTCATTTCCCACCCGTAAATTACTCATCCTGTTTTGGGTTCCTCCAGATCAACATTCGAATTAATGCAGATGCAGCTCTGCAAGCTCCCAGCCGCAACGGCTGAATGCAAGGAAGTATTCCTTCTTTGTTACCAGTGGGATTCTGGTAAGGATCTTCTTCAGATCCGCAGAGAAGGTTGTCCTGTATCCCCTGCTGTTGAAGGAACCCGTACACGTAATAGAAAATATCCTCTTTAGTGATGGCTTGATCGGCATATTTTGACTGCGCTTTTTGACTGCGCTTCGTTGAGAATTAGTCTGAAACACCATCCCAGCGGACATACTCGGTTTCCGGTGTCTGTACAGGGTTATCTTCCACAGCGGCTGACAAAGACGTCTGGGATGCAGCTACAGATCGGACGGAGTGATTCCTGCCATCGGCAGCCTCATAGTAGTACAGCGGGAAGCATTGCGATTTTCCAACGATCTCTAAATCAGGGATGATATCGGTGATGAGAGTGTTGAATTCTTTCATAACCCCAATACCGGAGATACAAATAACCCGGTTCGGTGTATTCGGGGTGAGGAATAACTAGCTGCCTCGCCCTCTTGTATCTTCTGCTGTTTGTGTGTATTCAGCTTCCTCCTTAGGGAGAGGAGAGTTGATGTCAGGACTTTGGAGAGGAAAGTATCAATCTGAATTTTTCTTTTTGTTGTGTACGTGAGTTTCCCGATAACACTGCAAAGATTTTCGCGTTCTTCAGGAGACAGTTTATTTATAATGCTTCAGGAGTGATTATATATACTGTTGATGCAAGCTGATACACAAAGGTCTCAAGACTCTCTATAGTAGATGACGGAACAACAAAGCATCAAAGATAGTATATGAGTCGCCTATAATCAGGAGTTATCAGGTGTTCCTGAAAATTGTATCAGATCCAGTAATATCTTAAATCACCCGACTAAAATCAGAGTTTGATCCATATCGTTTAATAATTTCAAAACAATACAGATAATAATGGGATTCTTCACAGAATTAGGAAATAAGATAGATTCAATATTCGGGGATGAAGCCGTAAAAAACGAACAAAAAGGGACTAATTTTGAAAGATATGTCATAAATTTATTTAGATTAAATAATAAACCCGATAAAGAATACTTCACAGTCGAAGACTGGACACGTGATATTAACAGAAAAGCAATAGGCATTAAAGTAAACTCAGATCAAAATCCAGACCTCACAATGTGCTACAACGGCAAAGAATACTTCGCAGTTGAATGTAAATATCGTGCCCACTTCTACTTCTCGAAAGAACGAAATGCCTATGTCATCAAATGGTCATATCCAGAACAAATGAAAAGATATCAACAATTTCAAAAAGAAAAAAATATTCCCGTATTCATCGTCATAGGCGTTGGTGGATCTCCAACATCCCCAATGACAATGTATTGCCTTCCCCTCAACGAAGCAAAATATCCTGAATTATATAAATCTTATCTTGAAAAATATAAAAGATCCCCTGTAAAACCATTCTTCTGGAAAAATAACAAATTATCCTAATTATTTTCCCGACTCCAAATACCGAACCAGAGAATCAGCGTTTCCTTAATCACCTTATTATCCTGCTTCATCTGATAATTATCCTCCATCAGTCCCACAAGCAGCTTATCATGACTGGTCAGCTGCTGTGTCTCACTCTTCAGTTCCGCGTACTCCTGCGGTGCGAGGATCACCAAGTACGGCTCCATCTTTGCATAAGCATCAATCAGCTGCTCTGGACTATATCGCCGATAAGAAGAATCACCCGGTTCAAAATGTTCAGTCAGAGCTATAGGTTTATCTAATGTAATCCTTCCGTTTAATCCTTTCTTTTTTTATAGTGTTGCCCATAAAGTCCTGATACCCACGAAAAACACTGAACACACTGAAAAAAACATCACGGAACAGTTCATGAACAAACGGAAATAATGCGTTGAAGGGAAATTCTGTGAATATCCGTAATGCCGGTGAATAGGCAGAACCTGCACTGGAATCAGCGAAATCCACACTGGAAATGTTTTGGATGTATCCATCATCACAAACAAAAAGAGTAGGTACGTCGTGGCTTGATTCAACTGGATGCCACGGCGTTGACATTATTGTATTCTTTCTGCAGGGGTGATACTCCATACCCCCAGCTATTTTTTTTCAATCGTCAAAGCATAAACTTACACGGATAATTTTTAATGAGTAATATTTATCGGAAAATACAGCATAAAGTAACTTGCGTCGTGGATTTAGGGTTACCACGGCGTCGAAGAACACCTAATACGGTAATCACAGGTGGATTTCACAGCTTTCCCCACCTGTGATTAACCGTCTTTTTTGTGAGGAATATTGATGAAATTTGGCATTTATGTCGTATTCTAATATTATTCATCACACGTTCCGTGGTATGGATTTCACATCATGATCCAATACCCCCGAAACTCACAACCGAAAAAAGTCCAAATCCCGATGATTTTCCTTTTTTTAAAAAAGTCCTGTTATCACTATTTGTAATTCATATTATAAAAACACAGAAGAAAGGAGATAGGAAAATCTGACGCATTTGCGAAGAGATTGAAGATCGTGATCAGGGTGTCCCCATCAAGCGCATGTCGGACCACGGAACGCTTGGGAAGAAGTCAGTTAGGTGAATAGGTGTATTTGTGAACGAATTTGGGCCGGTATGGAAATGTTCATCATCTGCATGTAGGAAGAATCATGAAAAGATACCAACTTGGGCTGGCTCAACATGACTGAGAGGGTGACATCGCCATTTTCCAGCTTGGGATCCTGCACTCTAAGCAGGCCATCACCATCAAAATCCATCTGACATAGATAGCTTACGCTATTAAAAATGCATAAAACAGGTTTTTCAGGATGTTCACGGGTCAGAACTGAACAACTTTGCCATGAAATCATTATACCTTTGCAGTCCTTCCTTCACGGGAGGAGGGGGGGACGATTGGGGTATTGGCTTTGGTGGTTTACGATTCACCTTCTCCATATCTTCATCCTTCAGTTCCCATCCAATGAATACACTTCTGAGAACTTCACCTGCTATCCGTGCACGTTTCTTACAGTAATTATACCCAGCTGTAATCTCATCATAGAACCTCCGCACTATCAGACTGTGCCGCCGCATATACATCTCCAGCTCGCCGGTTCCATCAGGTATTTCGATACCTACCGCGCGCGCCCAATTTTGGAAGAGGTATTTGCCAGCAATGCGCCGGTTCCTGTTCCGAACCATGCGCGCCTTCATGAACGCGCTGGTTGTCATCTCAGGATCGGATTTAGCGGATTCCAACGCCGATTCTGCCCATTCACCGGCATTACGGATATTTTGAGATTTTGCGTATCGGATGAGATGGATCAGAACATCTTCTTCTGAAATTGGTTTTTTACCCCAAATCCATGAGTTATTAACTGAATCAAAAGAGTATTTGGCTTCTTTCAGGGTTTTTACCGGTTGCATTGTAGACATTGCTTCTTACCTCACAGAAAAAGCGACGCCTTTATACCCTCGATTAACCTAAATTAATATGCATCAGGGGTTGCCTGATAAAGGCGCCCTTCTCTTACTGTTCTTGTTATCTTTCTCAGTAAATAATTCCTGCTGTTTTGTGTGTCCGCCGCCCGCACACCACCAAGGAAAAGAGATGATATATGCAGAAGCACCCTATATTGCAAGAGATGGGAGACGCTGCTCACCATCATCATAGGACGTGGGCGTTTTGTTCTTTCTCGCCCGCGCCGCGTTTGCTGCTGTTCTTATCGCGGGAGATACCGCATGATTCTTTTGGCGTCTCCCGTTGCTCCGATTGCTGCCCCGCAGGCCATCCGCAGTTTTTGCGGTGTATACTCGCCGCCGGACGAGCGCGGTGACCCAGCTGACTGAGTATCCCCAGACCGCACCTGTCTGCCGATCGCCAATGGTCTCCTCGTCGATACTCACCGATGTGATGAATTGCACAACACAGTGAGTTTTATAAATTATCTTACCCAACTTTATTGAAATGAGTTTTACCACGATCATCCCTATCATCCTTACCTTGCTCCTGATTATTGGAGTTGGGTATTTTGCAAGGAGATACAACATATTATCTCAAGAGTCTGTCCAGGGTATTTCAAAATTTATTCTCTATGTGTCTCTTCCAGCTCTGATACTCATCTCTTCAACATCTCAGAAATACAATCCCAATGAAATAGATCTATTTTGTTTGTTGGTTGTTGCATCAGTCATCTATTATGTCATATCAATAATTATCTCCCTCAGCATTCCACGCTTAATTCATTCAAAACAGAGTGATACCGGAATTTATCGCTTTATTTTAGTTTTCCCTTCTGCTGTCTTCTTTGCCTTTCCTTTGATTGAATTATTATTTGGGAAATCTGGGATATTCTATGCAGCAATATTTAATTTACCTTATTTCATTTTGACGTTTTCACTAGGAATTTGGTTTATGGTCTCTCCCCTCAAGGATAATGTGCCTGTCAAATTGAGTCCTCGCCGAATCTTTTTGAATTTTGCGTTCCTTGCTACACTTATTGGTTTACTTATGTATTTTACCTCGACTATGATACCTCAACCACTTTTCAATACGCTGGATCTTCTTGGTAAGGTGGCAACTCCTCTCGCACTGATCGTAAGTGGGGCTTATTTATTTGAAGCAGAGATTACTTCTCTTCTTAAAAATGTTCGCCATTATTGTATTGCTATTGCTCGTCTTCTTCTCTTGCCCATCCTCGTCTTCACTGTTTTAAGGTACGTCCCAGCCATGATGGGCTTCCCAAGCATGCCAAATATAATCCTGGCAATTGCTGTGATCATTGCGAGTATGCCCGCAGCAGTTCAGACGGTTATAATTGCAGCAGAATACAATGCAAATCCAAAGACCGCATCAGAGATCATACTAGTGACTACTCTTTTAGCGGCAATAACAATACCAATCGTATTGTTTATAACAGGGATCTCTCAGTAGTATTATAGTTCCCCACTCTTCTTTTTTGTGAAAGCAGCACATAAGGTGAAATCAGAGTTTATGTCGTGACTCAACGAGTTGTTACGGTGCGGGCATTGTGTTCATTCTATTCTCTTTCGTGCGGGGAGGACTCTACCTCTGCTTTCGACTCATGATGTAGGGAATACTATGGTACAGAATGTGAGATGTAACGAAAGGTGATTTTTCCACGATATCTTGGATCTGCTCATGGGTGTAATTACAGGGAATTGCGGTGAACATGGATGGGAACTGAAACCACGTCGTGGGCAACCAATACCATGAAACCACGACGCAAAGAATACTATGTGTAAAAGCAGATAAGGATGCTCCAGTAGTCTTCCTACTGCTATCCCTTCCTTGTGAAAACAGCTCCTGTTACGAACGGGAGGGTCAACCTTATTTTTCTGGATGATTTTTGTGCGGTGGCCTCTCCACCACCGCAACGTGTGTGTCGATTGTAACCCCTAAGAACTACGAAACAAAGAGGATACATCCTCGGAACAGAGAACCGAGGTGGTCGTGATGTCTGTACCAAAATGCACTGGGAAATGCATAGCAATGCAGTATCCCGGCCTCATAGGTTGTATATTGCAGTTGATATTCCTGCCGATTTCGATTCTCAAAATCATGGGAGTGGATTGACGGCGACCGGCAGACTGGCGCGGCTTGGTGATACTCTGCTGGATGGGGCACGGGGCTCGTCCGGCATGCTACCGGCGGCGAGTATACACCGCAAAAACTGCGGATGGCCTGCGGTTGACATATAGAAATATTGATAACCTGCGTATATATCATTGCGTTTCGGCGGGTGTAGTCTCTAAGGTTCAAAACAGCGGTTTGGGCTGGTCACGGGTCAGCAGAGATCAATTTTACCATGCCGCGCGCGCCCAATTCTGGAATAAGTATTTGCCGGCCGTCCGGCGGTTCCGGCGCGGCCCTTGCCTTGGTAAGAGCTGCGGTTGCATATTCCCCAGCATCCGTGATATTTTGGGATTTTGCAAACCGGATGAGAAATATCAATACATCCTCTTCATCAGCTTGCTTCTTTCCGCAATATTTGGCATATTGCTTCTTTTCTCCTGATGAGAACGAAGGCCTTATACACAAAAACACCAAATCAGATGTTGCAGGTTTTGGTTTGGTGGTCTTGGTTCCCGTCGGGTTCCTAAGACCTTCCTTCCTTCTTTTGTTAGTTTGTTTTTGGTAGGTTTTTGATCAATCTTCGTTTCTTTTCGTCCCCCCTATTCTCATCACGCGGTTAGATAGTTAGCATAGCAGGACCATTTAGCGCTAAAAAACGACGTGTAGTATGCGACGGGCTGGGCATTAGTCACGATGAAAAAAGGTTAGTTTGCCAGCTGAGTCCGCATAATCGAGTTCACCGTAAAGGGTGAGGTTACAATCAGGACGGTCGCAAATGCTGATAACCACGTGGTAATACTCAACAGACTATGATTCGCCGCCAAAAGTGACGAACCTAAGGCAAAAATCGAACCAAACACGGCCAGAAATGCCACCATTATCAATGGGGTGCTTATGAGTTTTTCCCCGAACTCTATGAAATAATCTTCAAAGTGGATCAGAACATCAGCTGTTCCGATGCCAATACCAAACGCGGCGGCTAATACTAAAGCGCCGGTTAAACTTCCCCCTGATATAAACGCAATTGTGCTAAATCCTATAGCACTGAATGCTACATACAGGGCAATTTTTTCGAA